AGAGGGGGGGGGGAGAAAAATGGGAAAAAATGTGCCGGTTGTATGCTGATCGTTAGTTTGTGGGGTCTATTGTTATTTGCTTTGGATTTTAAATTCAATTAATTATCAAACTGATTATCAATTTTCTCGAAATAGGAAAGAGATCAGCTTGAAATGAGCAGTCAATCGATATTGTTTCGCCTTATGAGTGATTAAATTACGATTTTGTCTCCCGTGGTGTGACCTAATTCTCTCTCCCCTGTTTTCATTGGTTTCAGAATTATTGACCTAGTTTCTGGACACGATGTGAAGCAGCACAACTGGTGAACGTGAGCACGGAGAGGATTAACGAGACCGGACCGCGCTCGACACGACAGCGGGACCGGTGGTAGTAGCTGTGCTAGCAACTGCCACGACAGCAACTGCAACAGCACCACCAGCAGCAGAAAAACAGCACACTGCAACATCAGCGTTTGCGCATTATATCTCGTGCAAATAGGAGAGTGGAGTAAAGGCGAAGAAAAGGAACGCTTCAACCACAGCAATAATAACAACAGCAGCTACAGTAAAAAATAATCATAATACCAGCAGTAGCAGCAGCAGCAGCAGCAGAACGAGGGCAAGGAGAAAGGAGTAAGCAAAAAAAAAAAAAAAAAAAAGAACGGACGAGACACACTCACAAACAGACACGCACACACACGCACACACACAAACTGTGTGCTGTCCCCTCCTCCCCCTCCTCCTCCTCCTCCTCCTCCTCTTCCTCCCATCAGCCTGTGAGATTGACCCAGTGCTGACGCTAACGCCGGCATCTCCACAGCCGGCTCCGCCACCAGGAATTGATCGCCAGCCCACACTAGTCTGAGACGGACGGCCCTGTTGTTATTTTTATTTCCTCCGTTTCTTCCACCTCTCCGGATAATTTTTTCCTCTGTCTTCCCTTCCCCCCCTCTCTCTCTCTCTTCTCTCTCTCCTTCCTCTTTTGGACCTGCCCTCGACCGCGGCCGGCGTCAGAGCTGAAGTCAATACCGACGGTTGATCGGAACAGGCGGCCCAGAAAATCGCTTGTTTTTTTCTCAGAAGCGCTCGGCTTCTCCCGAGTCCTGCTGAGTAAGGAGGGATTCTTTGAAGTTGGCCAAAAGTTTCTTCCTTCTCTCGCCCGCTGTGAGGTTGTTTTTTTCCCTCTCCTCGTTTTTCTTTTGACCTCCTGGAAGGGACGAAAGAGAGAGAGACAAAGTGAGTAAGGCGGAGAGCTTGTCTTGCTGTGTTCTCGACTCGGGTGAGGTTCTGACCGGGTGCTTGCTTCTGTACCACAGCGCGAGATCAGCCGACCCCCCCCCCCCCACCTTTGTTGTTTGTGAGTTGTGATTTTACAGCGAGGACAGCACGCAGGGACAGGTCGCCCCAGCACAGTCCACGTCTCGTGTTCTGATTGGAGTATCGTCACAGTTGCTATTTTTGGAGTGTGGATTTTGTTTCCCCTGCAACATTTGGCGTCGCTGTGAGGTTTTTGGAAATTGTTCTTTTTTTCGTTATATTATTATATAAATCGATCCTCCTCGTTTTAACATTCGATTATTTTTTTGTGATCAAAATTTGGGAATAATTCGAAGTTTTCGGATTACTGATTACAATCCAGTCTTCGGAGTGTTGTGGATATTTTCAGCGATAAGAACGTGACACCACATACTTCGTTAGGTCAAAGGTCGTCACAGGCTCGCAAAAAGCCATTTGTGAACACCCGCAGGCGCCCTAGGTGCGGAAGGCCAATCATTTCTCCTGGTTTAGATCCGGCTATCCGGACAGGCGAAGTGTATTCATCCTTGGGAATCGCATCCTCGGCCAGCCCGTGTGGACTCGGGACCGGACCAGCCCCATCTTCTTTCTCTCTCCGCTCGCTGCCAGCCTTTTGTCTTCTGGCTCTGTGCTGAGAAACGCGGAGATCAGCAATATCTGGGCCATCAGCAGCAGCAACAGCAGCAACAGCAGCAGCAACAATAACATCGACGATATCAATAATCGTGAAGGTGATTACCGGAGCGGATAGCAGCATCGACTTCTGGTGACAGAATTTTCTTCTCGGAGTTATACTTTTTGTCTCTGAAATCCGCCAGTGACTGGATCCGGAACTCTGTGATAATAGCAGCAACAGGATCTGCCGGCTTAAAAACATCATCGTCATCATCATCATCAGCAGCAGCAGCAGCATCAGCAACAGCAACAGTAACAGCAGCATCAGTAGCAACAACAAAGCGACTACAGTGACCAGCGTCCACTTAGTGACGGGTCAGTTATCTCCCGGGTAATTCCCCCAGAGGTTGCTTACTCAGTCCCCCGCTCTCTCTATCACCCCCTTCACACCCCGGTGTCTTAACCCTGACCCTCAACACCACCCCACCCCCACCCCCTTCCCACACTCACTCCCACACATACCCGACCCATCATCTTCCACACACAGATCGATCTACGCCCTGCCCGACAGTCGCGTGAACTGAAGTTCATCAGCTTGTGAGGTCGCCTATAGCCCTCACCCCTCACGCCCTCGCCCTGTCCTAGATACTGCCGGACCGCAAGGGGACTGCTACAACTAGCTCGCTACTGCGCGAGGCTTCTGGCAAAAGAAAAACGAATCACCAAAACAAAACAAAACAGAAACAGGCTACTGGAGTAGACATCGCTGCCACAGTCTCGGAGTGTGCACGTCTCGAGTATTTTACTTGTCTTCCTGTGAGGTTTTCCCATTATCAAGGGAATTTCCTCCACAATTTATTGCTGCTCATAATAGTTTATTAATAATACAGGGGATTCCCGATTTTTGTTTTCTTTTAGTATTTATTTGTGTTTTGGAGAACACGTTGCTATTACGGACTGTCTGCAGTTTACATGTTGACATTTTTATTTTGGTAATTACGTTACTATTTTAAGGTATCAACACGCATTGTGTGCCACGGAATGTGTCATTGATAGTTTGTATTTTTTGTGCTCTTTTATACTTCACTGTTCAACATTGTAAGTCGTTGTTTTGCCCTCTAGAAGTACACTTTTTTAAAAAAGTTGTAATTGAGGATTGGGATTTTTTTACAATCCGCTACAAATTGCAAGAGCGTTCTAGTAAAAAAAAATACCAGGCGTATACGTCTTTTTCGTGCAGATACTAGCTGCAGTTTAAACGTATTTTGTAGTAGTCAGCATAATTTCTCGGCTACCCGTGGTCAATCAAACCGGAGTAGTCTTGTAAACGAGTCTATAAATAAGTGTCTATAGATCCGCACAGATAGAGGTCAGGCGTGTGAGTGTGTGAGTGAGTACACCACGCCCTCAGCGCCGTCTACATCACCGGCGACCCCGTCTTGTGGCGCGTAAGGGGAGAGAATCCTTGGGCGACTCGCCTGGACCCCGTTATTTGTGGTATTGATCCCTGGCCGGTGTGCCTGGAGCCTCAGGGCACAGCTCTTCTTGGTTGTTGAGTTCTTTTTCTTTTTCTTTTTCTTTCCTCGCTCGTCTTCTCTCTCTCTCTCTCACGCCTCTATCTTCCATTCTTTCTGTCTCTCCATCATCACAGCGTCGCTCGTTGTTGATAGACCTCCTCCTCCTCCTTCATCTGGAGACTGCGCTCCCCTTCACGAAAGGATCGTCCACTTTCACTCTCCACCCGTCTCATCTTCTCTCTTTTACTACATTATTTCAATTAGTCACCACCC